GCATTGTCAGAATTTTGATTAATCAGTTTAAGCTTCATTGTGAACTCTGACTCCAAGCCAAATAAGCAGCTCTTGAGAAAACTAAATTATTGGTATATTCATTACACATGTCATATTGATTAATAGGAAAAATATATCTCAAAGTGATAGCAAAAAATTTTCAAATGAAAATGCATTCTTTATCATAATAAGCTTATTATCTGTTTTAAAATAAAATCATCTGCTTTAAAATAAAATAAAATAAAATAATTATTTTCAAATATCTATTTTTGTCACATTCTTTTTGTTTTTTTAAATTTTATTGTTTTTAGGCAATTGGGGTTAAGTGACTTGCTCAGGGTCACACAGCTAGTAAGTGTCAAGTGTTTGGTCTGAGGTCAGATTTGAACTCAGGTCCTCCTGACTTCAGGGCTGGTGCTCTATCCATTGTACCACCTACCTACCTCTGTCACATTCTTTTTAAAAGCTTAATTCATAATCTAACAGTATCCAGATAAAAATGGAAGTAATGTTTCTAACAGCATTTCTGATGTAATGGTTTCTCAAATTTTACAATATGAGACAATTTAGAAATATAGTAATAACATACACAACATCATGTATTTAAAACATAAATCAAAACTTTTTACCAGTCAGATAACATCAATTTAGCCAAATGCATTTCCAAAGTATCCCATTATAAAAATCATTAACCTTATTACCTTTGGTATTTTATACTAATCACATCTGAAACACAGCATATAATTACATTCAATTTAATAATAATAATAGCCAACATTTATATAGTGCTTACTATATACCAGTCTTAATCCCTTACCTAATTGTAAAATCTTTAAGGGTATTGAGATCATAACAAATATCCATCACACAGACAGAATAGAATAATTACAAAAAGAAAGGTTCCAAGAGCTATGTATGTTCAGAGAGGGAGAGATCGAATCCACTGAGGGGCATCAGAGATGAATTAAGGAAGCAGAATGCATTGGAGATAAGCCAAAAATGATAGGGAGAATTTAGTCATTGGAAGACAACATTGAAATGCCATGTTCTTGGGGGAGATCCTAACTATTAATAAATAAAGGATAAAGAAAGAATGTTTGGGGGCAGCTAGGTGGTGCAGTGGATAGAGCACCAGCCCAAAGTCAGGAGGAGCTGAGTTTATATCTGGCCTTAGACCAAACAGTTGACACTTAACTAGCTGTGTGACCCTGGGCAAGTCACTTAACCCCAACTGCCTAAAAAAAAAAAGAATATTTGGTAGAGGTCAATAGACTGACATGTGTTATTCAAGATGACCTACATGGAATGATATCAATGGTGTCAGTGAGCAAATGAATGACAAGAAACTAATAATTCTGTCACGGAGTGAGATTGATAGAAAATATATGTACAGCCCCAGGGTTGTCTAGGTACCTTCAACTATTTAAATGGACCAGATGATTCTCTTTATTGAATTATATAACTTCTCCATGGAGGATTTATGAAAACAGATAAACAAGATTCTCTTAAGATTTACATAGTATCTGATGCTATTTTCTATATGGAAATGGTGAATCATCTCCTAGCATTAGGATAATGGAAAACAGTGTCATCCTGGCAGCCACAGCAGCACTGAAGCAGTGACCCCACCTGCCAGACACTATCATCTCAAAGTTCTCATAAACTTTAAAGTTAACACATCCATGTCATCTCAAATTTATCAACAACATTTGGCATTCTGCTCTCTTGCCTCAGATGTCCAGAAAAGTTTTTGTTACTTTTTCTCACTTTCAGAATCTATCTGTCCTCATTTTGCATATTAGTCTAAATTGATTATTACAAAACCAATAAGGTTCAATAAGAACTGAAATTTGGTGCTTCTTAGTTATTTTAGAGACTGAAGAAAAAGAAGTTCAATGTTTGGTTTGTACAGTTTGGGGAGTTTGTGAAGACTTCCCCTGGCAAAAGGGTAAATGAGAACAGTATGTTCCAGTGGCTCTGAAGGCAGCCCAAGCAAGCACTGTGGAGCACCGAGAACGTGGTCAGACATGAAAGATGCCCAGATCTTCCACTGCATCCCAGGCCATCCCAAGTCTTCACTTTGGTCTTTCCACTGGATTTTGATGACTGGAAGAGAGAGTGAGGCTGATAACTTTATTCAACTCTGCCTCACTTAAATCCAATTCAGTAACAAGTCAAGACATGATGTCATTGGTCCTCTTTGAAAATGGAGGCTGAACATCACCAACAGCAAAGATGCCTGGACCAAAAGGTCCGACAGAAAAGCCCACGTGAATGACTTCCTCTGATTTAGCACATATTCTTAAGATGTGAATTTTGGTTAATAGGTGAGACAGTCTGCCAATTATGTTCCTTTGATCTTTGACAAGGCCTGTATGTGACTTACAGGTTTCCCTTTGCAATCTTACTTCCTGCTATTGTTACTTTATACTGTCTCCTTACAAACTTACTCTACTGATTGGGAGGTGGGAGTGGTTCAGAAGGACCAAGACACCGTTTAACACAGCATAATCTGATAGACGGTGGTCTGTTGTGTTAGTAAGCTGATGTTTGTTGTTTTCTCTTGTGGTATTGTATTCCAGGAGTCAGTGGAACCAGTGTATGGATCACACCACCAGCCTTGAGTGTCCAAAACCAGCAAGTTATAGAGCAGACACAGGGCTATTTGTGTAACTCTGCTCATATGGATTGATGTGAGACCCAGATGTGGACCCTTTGGGCAAGAGTAATATAAAACAATATTTAGGACTTTGACAAGGAACTCCTGAGACACCAGGTAATCTTTAGCAAGTTGCTTTTTTGCCCTTTTTTTAAAGAGGTTTTTATTTTATTTTATCCTCTGGACTGCTTTTAAACTGCCGAATGGAATAACTTCTACTGGAGGTATCAGAATGTTTGTAGTAAAAAATTGCTTGCTTGAACCTGTAACTTTAAGTGATCCATTGCACCAGATGAGCAATAGTTACCCAGATAGAGTCCAAATAATACTGACCCCAGAGGATGGTCTCATCTTCATCAATAAATAACCAAGGTATTCTCATAATGACCTTGCAACTTTTGACTCCATAGACAAATAACAGGAACAATATTCATCTCAAAATTTAATATAAAGTTATGAACATACATCTTTGTCAAAAAATCCTCAACAAATTTTTGTAGAACAGCTGACCAAGTAACCATTTATTCTAATATTTACATAAGAGTAATGGTAGGACACATTAGAAACTTGACCAGGAAAGGAAGTAGATGATACAACTTGATTTAGTCTCAAAGAGTTTAAGAACTTTACCTATACACTTGCTAGCTGTGTGACTCTGGGCAAGTCACTTAACCCCAATTGCCTAAAAACAAAAAGCAAAAAACAAACAACAAAAAAAGAACTTTACCTATAGTAATGACATTACTAATAGGCAGACCCAAGACTTGAATCCACAATGACACCAAATTCATTTAAAACAACAGCAACCACCTATTGAGAGCTCCCTGAGTGTTTATTTAGTAGAATGGCAGTTTTATGAAAAGACTCATCTATATGTTAATTTGGGGTCCAAATAATAAACGCCTGATGACTTCTTCACAATCACCCAGTAGAAATGTTTTCATGAGCAGTACCCAGAGCTGGTCTGGACTCTATTAGACTTGGAGCTGTGTCCTTCTGGAAGGGTCTAGCACAGAAGCTTCTTCAGAAATGAACATTCGGTATAGGTATAGCCTATATCAGATTGCATGCCATCTTGGGGAGAGAGATGGGGAAGGAGGGGGAGAAAAATTCAAAACTCAAAAGCTTATGGAAGTGATTGTTGATAAATTGAAATAAATTAATTTAAAGGAAAGAAATGAATATTCATAGATTAATGGTCATTGGAATCCCATTCTCTCTCCCATGGGGGGACATGGACAAAACATAGGTTTCAGGGCTTGGAGAAGTGGAAGAGAGGGAAATGAAATATTAAACTAGTTTTCAAGACATCATAAAATGAAATGTGCCCTTGATCATAGTCTAGAAATATCCCTACCTTTCGTATATGGGAATTTGATTGGTGTTCTATGTGCAAAGGTGTGGTCATCACAGAGTAAATATTTCCCTTCAGAAAACATGTAAGGAGAAATACATCCCCAGGACTGAGTGGAACATTTGCATTCCTACTCAATGATGCCTTACATACACCAAGTGACCATTCCCTACTGTCTCCCACATCTACTTCCCAGTAGTATATTCCAAAGGTAAAGACCTGAGCCCCCAATATAATACTGTCTTCAAATTGGTGGAGAGCAATTGGTATATTCTGCTGACATCCTCCATGAGTAACAGTCTTCATATCTTCAGACACAATAAGATAGGGACAGGCACTTTCAGGATCCACTGTCACATTCACTACAAAGAAAGGCCAAGAGGTTACATGACTTTATGTCCTCAAATCTTGAATGAACAAGTCAGAACAGCAAACAATTTCCCCATTGATCAATTCAATGTCCATGAGGTTAAGAAGAAAAAGAATTACTTAGTACTAATTGTGCAGAGGGCTAGGATTTTTAATGTCCCCCACCATCATCACCAATGACAACTACAGACTGTATTATTACTATGTGAGAGGAGAACCTTTAATGTTACACCTACAATCTGAACAAACTTCACATGACCATTTGCAGGTCAGAGTAAGCACATGTACTTGCAAGGAAAATCATTTATGGGATGGCTAGATGGCGCGGTGGATAGAGAACCGGCCCTGGAGTCAGGAGGACCTACGTTCAAATCCAATCTCAGACACATAACACTAGCTGTGTGACTCTGGGCAAGTCACTTAACCCCATTGCCTCGCCAAAAAAAAAAAAAAAAGAAAAGAAAGAAAATTATAGTTCTTACTAAGTACTCATTAAGTGATTTTCCCTGTTCCATCCCATTGTTATCCCTGGTATGAGAATATCTCCTCATCTACTGTATTGATCCAAACATTAGGGAAGCTTCTCTGTACTTTGAAATTCCAGTACAGTACTAATGCTCACCTCTGAAGTGTTTCATCATTTCCCATATGCCAGTGATTTGAGACATGGACACGAGTACTGGCAGCTTCTGGACGATAATTCAGAAGGGACTCACTACTGCAGAGAGGACAGTTTTATTTACCCTCAATGATCAGTACAGACTCAACATGGATATAGTACTGCTGTCCCTCCTCTAAAACAGACCCTTCTCTTAAACTCTTAGCTGACCCCAAAAGGGAATCTTACCTGTTTAATGCATCTCCTACCACCTGGGGAGAAAAAAAAGAGAGGGAAAAAAGTTTATCTTGGTCCTCTGCTATGTCCTGGGCCAAGGCCTTACTGTGACATGGTCCCCATAAGCTCATGAAGTCAAATTAGCTGAGAGTTAATCAAGGAAACAAGAGTTTTGGGAAAGTGGAACCAAGGAGGGGCAGCTAGGTAGTGCAATGGATAGAGCACCAGTCCTGAAGTTGGGAGGACCTGAGTTCAAATCCGACCTCAGACACATAACACTTACTAGCTATGTGACCCTGGGCAACTCACTTAACCCCATTGCCTAACAAACAAGCAAAAAACTTAACACTTACTAGCTGTGTGACCCCAGGCACTAAAAAAAAAAAAAACCATGGAACCAAGGGACTAAAGGGAAAACTTCTTTTGGCAATTTTCCTGGAGAAAATGAAAAAGATCTGTGTTGTCATGCATTACCATGCATACACACATGCATTTCATAAATCAGAAAAGGACCACTATGCTGAACAAATCACCAGGTGTCCCCTCATTTCCCACACACTTCATGGACCTGAGTTCGTGATCAAGATATCAACCAAGAAAATTTCTCAGATTATAAAACATTGTGCTGAAGTTATTCACACCTGAGTTTGGTTTCTAATACTTTCTTCACACTAGTTGTTCAAATCACAGCCCAGTTCCCTACCTTGACAAACAGAGCACACGCAACATAATAATACTTTTCCTTGGTAACATCCTTACCCCATCATTAGAAATAACTATTAGGGCTGGACTGTGCACTAAATACTTTGCTCAGAGCTGGGAAGTCTGAACCAGATTTTCTGCCCTGACATTAAATGCCAGTGGGCTGCTATGCTAGGCTTTTTGAATTAGGAAACTGTTTCAGGATGATTACCTATCTTCCCGAGTCTCACCTGAAGAAGCTGGAGATCTGCTTTCTGGTTATTTTGCTCAAGATCTGTGATGACTTTCCTTAAGTTCTGAAGGTGTTGAAAGAGTTTGGCCTCATTTTTTCTTAGACTCTTCATATTCTCACTTTCCTCTCTGCCCATACTATAAAGGTGCCACTTTTCCTCATTCTTCAGAAATTCATATGCTTGAAAAGATTGGAGAATTCTTATCAGCACAATGACAAACCACAAAATCCCAGGCCTGAAGATTAAGCATGTTGTGACAGACATTGTGATAGACAGTGGATGGACTACGATGCAAAGTGATAGACATTTTTGGAAGTGGATAATGTGGGTATTTGTTTTGCTTGATTATGCATATTTGTTAAAAATCCAGGGAGAGGTAGGAGAAAGAATACATGTTTTTAAATTAAGCTAGCATTAAAAATTTAAAGACACTTCGTATATCAACAAATGCTTAGCATTCTGGAGGAACTATTCTTTTTTTATTCTCTCTTTTATTCTCTTTTGAAATCTTTGACTTTTAAAGTTTGGCAGAGTCTCTTTCCTGGGAGTGCCCTGATTATTTCTTCTTTAGACTGCTCTAAGTTCCCTTGAATTCTAGAATGCTCTGTTGACTTCCCACCCACCCCCACCCTAAAATACTCACATTCCAAATATTAATTTTCTCTCTCTCTTCAGCCAAAATGGCCTGAGTTATCTCTGCTTCTTTCCAAAGAAGATCCAAAGTTTTCTGGAGCTTGTCTTGGAAAAACATAACAACTAATTGACCCATGATGCTCTTCCCTATACTGTGAAGCTCCTGGGTCAGATAAACAAAGTCCTACCATCTCAGAGCTAGGAAACCAGTCATAATGAGTATCATTTAATATCTTTGCCATGAGTATCAAAAGGTATGGCTGACATAGGGACCCCAGGTGTCCCATGGATTCCAGTTCCACAAGTGATTGTCTTGAAGAACCACTAATAGGATTGTGGGAATCTTAGATGGATTCCTGCTAATTAAAAACACTTACCCTAGAATCATCTGCAGCCTTTTCTATAGGGAGCACTGTATGACTGCTATGATCCTGGGTTTGGAAACAAGATACACAGAGCAGGGTTTGGTCCTCCTCATAGAACAGTTTTTGCTCCTTCAGATATGTCTCTCACAAGTGACACTTTCCTTCCTCAGCTTCAATAAGTAGGGTCTGATGTTCTTGGCTATGCTGACCAGTTTCTCTAGGCAATAGTTGGGCTCCAAGTCTCTTATCTGGAAGGCTCTTGTGCACAGAGGACAGGAGCAGGATTGGTCAATTCCTCCCTGGCTCCTGAAGAGGCCTGATAGCAAAAGCTGTGGCCACAGCTTAAGGTAACTGGGTAGCTGAAGTAGTTCATGCACACAAGGCAGGTCAGCTCTTCCTTGAGGTTTTCAGCAAATTCTGCCATTGCCATTTTTCTGAAAAGTAAGATCAAGGACAGATGAATCTCCTGAAGTAATGGAGAAAATATTCTCAGAACTCTTTTGCTTCAACTTAGATTCCTCCCAGGGTACTCGAACTGATTTCTATTTCATACTTTCTCTGAAAAAAACGTAATTTTCCCCAAGATAAAAAAAAAAGAAAAAGACAGTGGAAAATTCTTGAATAGATTAGACCAAAGTGGGAAAAAGTGCCTGCCATTGTCTCTTTGCTAGAAATTTAGAATGTGAAATGTAATTATCCCAAGTGAAACCAAACCACCAATCTGTGATTGAAAGACAAGCTCTTCATTAGGTCCATGCATAACCAATTTCAGCCATTATATGGAACTTAAGCAGCAAAAAAACCTGTCCATCATTTCGATTAGGCTGCCCTTTATACTTAGAACTCACCAATCTACTCCCCCAACACAAATATATGTACAACTTGATCCCTGACTAGTCTTCCACTTAGAATATGTTGGAAGACATTAATCAGAAATAAAAAGTAGTAGTTTACCTGTCAGATTTATGGAGAACAGAGGAATTTATGACAAAACAGGAGATAGAGAACATTATGAAATACAAAATGGATAATTTTGACTCCATTAAATTCAAATTGCACAAACAAAGTCAATGCAACCAAGATTAGGAGGGAAGCAAAAAACTGGGAAAGATTTTTTGCAACCAGGGCCCCTGATAAAGGCCTAATTTCTAAACTATATAGAGAACTAAGTCAAATTTATAAAAATACAAGTAATCCCCCAATTGATGTATGGTCAAAGGATATGAACAGGCAGTTTTCAGATGAAGAAATTAAAGCTATCCATAGTCATATGATAAAATGCTCTAAAACACTGTTGATCAGAGAAATGCAAATCAAAACAACTTTGAAGTACCACACTACACTTATCAGGTTGCCCAACATCACAAAGGAGGAAAATGATAAATGTTGGAGAAGATGTGGGAAAATTGGAACACTAATGCATTGTTGGTGGACTTGTGAACTGACCCAACCATTTTGGTTTTTTCCAGAATCTTATTTATTTATTTATTTGTTTGTTTGTTTGTTTTTATTAATTTATTTTGATTTATCAACAATCACTTCCACATGCTTTTGAGCTGATAATTTTTCTCCCCCTTCCTCCCCCCCACTCTCTCCAAGATGGCACATAATCTGATATAGGCTTTACATTTACATACCCATTAATCATATTTTCACATTAGTGAAGTTGTAAGTAAAAATTAAAACCAATAGGAGGAACCATCAGAAAGGTGAAACAAAACTCAACAGAAGGTAAAAATAAGTGATAGTGATTAGACTTCCATAGTTCTTTCTTTGGATGTGGACAGTATTTTCCATCCCAAGGCCTCTGGAGATGTCTTAGATTCTCGTAATGCTGAGAAGGGTTCAGTAACCCAACCATTTTGCAGAGCAATTTGAACTATGCCCAAAGGGCTATAAAAATGTTCATACCCTTTGACCCAACAATAGCACTTCTAGGGCTGTACCCTAAAGAGATCATCCAAATGGGACCCACATGTACAAAAATATTTATAGCAGCTCTTTCTGTGGTGGCAAAGAATTGGGAATTGAGGGGGTGCTCATCAATTGAGGAATGGCTAAACGAGTTGTGGTATATGAATGTAGTGGAATACTATGGTGCTATAAGAAATGATGAAGCAAGTGGACTTCAGAAAAACCTGGAAAAACTTGTATGGACTGATGCTGAGTGAAGTGAGCAGAACCAGTAGAACACTGTATACAGTAAAGCCACATTGTGCAATGACTAACTTTGATAGACTTAGTCCTTCTTAACAATGCAAGGATCTAAGACATCTCCAAAGGTCTCTTGATGGAAAATGCTATCCATATCCAAAGAAAGAATTGTGGAGTTTGAATGCAGATTGAAGCATATTTGCTGTTTTTCCCCCCCTGTTTCATTTGTTTCTTCTTTCTTGTGTTTCTTCCTATTGGTTCGAATTCTTCTTTACAACATGACTAATGTGAAAATATGTTTAATAGGAATGTATATGTAGAGCCTATATCAGATTGTATGCTGTCCTGGGGAGGGAGGAAGGGGGAGATAATTTAAAACTCAAAAGCTTGTAGAAGCTATTGTTGAAAACTAAACATAAGTTAATTAATTTTAAAAAAGGAGAAAAAAAGTAGGCATCTCTCCAGACATCCTTGAGCCTTTCAAGAAATTCAAACTTTAGCACTTCAAATTTTAGCAAAATTTTCTTCTTAATGTTAAAAGGAAAAGCCTGCAGTGAATGTAACAAAGATTTAATGACCTTTTAGTATTAGTGGTACTTTAGGATTAGAGCAAATTTATAATATAAAGTATAAACTTAATTTCTCTGAATATCATAATATATACTTGTTCTTCATGTACAAAGATTCTCTAATCACAGACTCTCAAATGTCGGAGGCCTGAAAGGGCATCTGTCCAAACCCCTTCCTTTTATATTTAGGTCTTAGAGATTCTGATTAGCAGATTAAAAAAAAAAAAAGATTTGTCAAGTCCAGCTTCAAGAAAAATGGTGGGCTATTCAGTTCTTATATTCATCTATATATGTACGCATATAATACGTACGCATATGTGTGTTTGTGTGTATCCTCCAATGACTCTCTACTTTATAACTTCTTTTCTTATTGATCTGGTTCTCTTATCCCACTTCACCTTGCAACTAGGTACTTTCATTGTCTTCCTTGCCTAGGAGCCATTATCCCTTGTTAGTTCCTTATGTTCAATAAATAAAATGAGAAAAGTGATATTGTCAAGTGGACAACATACCTTTACTTCTACTTACCTAGCAGGTTTCCTTCAGGGTCTGCAGCTCCAGTCCTATCTTCCACGATTCATTCTCTGACCCTGAATTTCCCTGGTTGGTTCCTTTTGTAGCCTTCTGGACCTCTAGGATCCTCCTCTTTGGATTCACACTTACTAGGTGCTCACTTGCCTGGTTCAAACCTTGAGAAACTGGGGTCTACTTTGGAATTGCTCCCAGAGCTGAATTCACACCCAGGCAAGAACTTCACATTTCATTGAGCTCATACCATAGCTGAAATGCCTGTTACATGTAAGGCAAAGTGCTAGGCAATGAGGCAACGAGCTGCTCTCAAGGGGCATAACAATAAAAGTGAGACTTATACATAAATCAGTGTAATATTAGTTAGTATGGGAAATCTCAAGCGCTGATCCTTTTTAAAACTGTCTGCTTGGATGTACAAAATGAATGGGTCCAATATTCAGCTCCATGTGCGTGAAAAGATGTTTATGAAATTTTCTGTTTCCACGGAAGTTAAGGACTAAAGACGTCTGTGGATTTGTATATCCTGATTAGCAGGTACTCTTTAACTACAGGTACTGACAAATAACTAATAGCTATTCTTTAGCTACAAGTATTGACAAACAACAGCTGGTCTTGCATCTGTGCATGCTTAATTAGTTTCCTTGGGGTACAAGAGCTTGCTCTTGCTTCTGTATCAGTGTGTATATGCTCTTTGGGAGCAGGCACACACCTGCTTCTTGCAAGAAACTAAATAAATGCCTTCCTCCGTTCATTCTGTCTTTGAGTCAAGTTCTTTGCTGTTTCTATTATATGGGACCAGTAATGATTTCTTATGGAAAAACAGAGAATACGTATAACCTTTGCATGTAGGCCTTCCCATTGTGTATGGCTCTCTCCTGTCGATAACTGCTAGGGTTCCAAAGGTGTATTGAAGAAAGTTGAAATCAG